TAAAGCAAGAAATATGATATAAATAAAAGTTATTAAATAGATAGATATAATAATAAATTATATTAATATAATTAATATATTATAAAGAAAGATATCTCCCTGTTTACTTTATATCATTAAAATTATCAATATAAAAAAATTTAATTTTAAATAAGAACTACACGTATTAAAATTATAATTGATATAATTAATATAAATATAAATTATATTAATATAATTAATATATTTAATACATATTTTTAAAGTAAAAATAATATATATATATATATATAATATTCAGGATGAGACTGGACATCAAGCTAATTGTGATTATTTTTATGTCAGGATGAGACCCGTCTCAATGTAATTAGGATGAAATCAAGCTAATTGTGATGAGTACAAACTGAGCACCCTTAGGTCATGTTTGGTATGATGGAAGAGTTTTTAATAGAATTGAAATCGAAATCGGAATTGGAATAGGAATAGAATTGAATTTAAAAATGTGTTTGATATGATGATAGAATCCTGATATAATTTTAATAAAATATAAGTACTTAAAATAAGAGAAGACTAAAGTATCCTTTTTAAAATTAAAAAAATTATATTGGAGGAGGGAGAAGGGGCAAACTGGAAAAAGGAAACCATGGAATCGGATTCCATAATGCATGTGATGGAATTAAATTCTGCCAAATTTTCTTGAATCCAAATTCTAAAAAATTATAATTATTACATACCAAACACACATATTAACAGATTTCATGTCTAATTCCATTTCTTTCTTCATGATTCTAAGCTACCAAACGGGCCTTAGTTGATAGAGTTTGTGAAGGAGTAAATGTGAGATTTACTTGCTCAATGGATATGGCAACGAAGGCACAGCGACCTCTCGACACAGCACTGCGCAGAAGGAATGGGAGATACAGATGATGCTTAAATGCATTACTTCAATTTAGCACTCCATATGGGAAATTGAAGCATGTAAGATATAACTCTTCGAAACGTTGAGTAAAACTTTGGAGTCTAAGCGGCATTAATTAATACAACTCTTAAAATTTGCTCAAAATTTCATTAACACATTTAACGATGGAAGCTACAAAAGGAACGAAATAAAAACTTTAACAGAGCATGGAGTCCCATTGAAAGAATTTTGTTGTGGCTTCAAACCTGGATTAAAAAATTGCAATGATTATAAATAGGAAAATAATTCGTTACAAATAATAAGACAACAAAAAGATTTTAAAACAATTTAATGCCCTCACTCAATTTCTGGAAACTATATGTAAATGTATTCAATCTAATAAAAGCAACTCATGCAAATACAAAATTAATTAAATTCACTTTTAACCCCACTTCTTCATTTTTTTTTTAAATTGAACTCACATTTCTCTTTTGATAACACAACTTGATTATACAATCTAGTATGTCATAAGTGAATAAATCCATTTATGTAATGAGGGGGAGAGGGTATATAGGACCCTTGAACCTTCAAATAACATATCAACCAAGGCAAAAATTCATCAATCACGGTTGTAACTACTTTAATATTGTATAAGTAAAGAAAACAGTAAGTTGAAAATGATTGAAAAAGAAATGCATAAAAAAGAGTCATATAGAAGCATGAGTTGAATATAATTGATTATACAATCTAGTTGGATATCAAAGAAAATGATTGTGAGTTGAATGGGGCATCCAAACCAGGTTTGTGCTGATGAGATATGTATGGAAAACAGTGAGGACCATATAGAAAGAAAGGTGTGGATTATTAGTGCAATAGGGGCAGGAGTTTTGATCATCACTCTCCAAATTGATATCTCCATTGAATCCATGATCCTCTTAATGTAGAGCAGCAAAAACCATGCACATATAAGCAAAGAGTTGCAGAGAAGACAAACATATAGAAAAATTATGGTTAACTTTGGAATCAATCCACCGCAGCATCATTTTCTTTTCACTTGGATATGAAAATAAAGGAAAAAAGTTATAAATGTTGAAAACCAATTGTATTTCGTGAATGAATCTACACATTGGCAATGATGCCCCTTTTTTTAAAAAAACGCCCTAATATAAAATTTAAACTTGAACTTAAATTAGAGTTGAAAAATAAGTGAATTGAGTTTGTATAGACTCAACTTTTAAGAGCTCAAACTTATAAGCTCGGTTTTACTAAAATATTTTATTTCTTAAAACCCAGCCCTTACATAAAGGGCTAAAGCTGGGCTTGTAAGCTTCTTTTTATTATTTATTATTTTTTTAAAAATTAAAATTTTCAATTATAATATTCATTTATTTTTTTAAAATGCATATTATAATGTTTAAAAATTTAAAATAAATAATATAAATTTTAATTTTAAAGTATAAACATATATTTTAAAGTTAAAATCTAATTTAAAATTTTAAAATATTTTATTTTTAAGGGAAAAACATTAAAAAAAAACTGAATGGGCCGTCTATCAGGATCAAGGTCCAAAGTTTCTTTTTTTTTTACAAAAATATCATTTTTTAAAGCTCAAACCATTGTAAAAAAAAAAAAAAAGAGTTTAGACGAACAGCCTTCTTGCCCTTATTTTCAACTTTTGTTTAAATTACTCCAATTTAACGATAAGCAGAATTTATCAAGTGGGAATCACAATCTAGCTTATGGTTTCTACCAATTTAATAAATTCAATAAAGTTAGATGTATAGTTTTTAAAAAAGTAACTGTAACTTGTAATCGTATAGTAAAAGAGGTTTTAGCAAATGGGAATCATATTTGCCAAAACGAACCATTATACGTGGATCTTGCACATATTGTAGATTTCGCAAATCAAAATCTAAGAAATCCACATTTGTATGAGGTACCCTTGGTTAAATTTTAAATTATTGATTTGTTGGGAAACATATACAAGAGGATGACAATTGAAAAAACATAACACAGTAAGAAACACAAAATGAGTGAAGAATTTTCAAACCTTATAATCAGAGTAGTTGGAATCATGTTTTGTTTGTGTTCTTTCTTCCATCGTCAACTTGAGAAGGATTGAGGAAGAACCTCCCACTATCATCTCTGACTTGAGCTTCGCTGTTAGAAATTGAAAAGCACAGGTTTTAATGGTTGGATGAAGAGTAATCTGAAATTGAAATATGGAAATGATGAACTCAAACACAATCTAGCCCGGAATCTCTTCTTTACTCCTTTGCTACTCATTCTCTATTCTACCTTCCCTCTCCCGACTATATGCTGCCCAGATCAAATGAAGATCTTCTAATAGGTCGAAAGGCTCACTCATTTTGTTGCTTGCTAGGGTTCTGTTGGTCGAAGAAGATTATAAAGATCTCTCCCTGCTCCCTTTCTTGCTTTGCACCGAATCTAAACTGCCATAGCAATGTTCAAGATACTCCCTATCTTTTTTGAAGATAGAGAGTATTGAGAGGCCAGGATGCATGGGGAAGGAACAACAAGCATAAATGGAGAAGCCAATGACCATGGAGTTAATGCTCTTTTGAAAATAAGCCTAGACTGGTCTACAAAACTGGAATGAAGAAAGAGCAGGCATGGATGTAAATAGAGATGGGTAGACAATTGCAGTTAATGCTCCTATTCAAAAAACAGAAGACGTAAATTAAACCTACAGTAGATATATAAAAAATTGATTGAACCCATGGTAGAAGAGAATTAAAATTATACTAAAGTTGATTGGCCAATAACGTGGATCTGAGTCTGTTTGAAAAATTAAGAACTCAATATAATAACATTGTAACATTGAAAGTGAGAAAACATAATAACATTGAAATTTGATGTATTTAATACATTTGATGGTTGGCCAAAGTAACTATTGATGGTTTGGGAAGCATTCTAAAAAAATTAAAATATGATACAATATTCTTTTAAGTATATGTTTGATTGATTGATATGATATGATATTTCATACAAAATTATACATTTTTTAACCTATCACACACCATTATATTTGAATGTGATACTTTATATACTCTCTTCATTTAAAAATATAAGATATTTTTTGAGAAGTTAAATGTTTAAAAATGTAAGGCATTTTTAGTTTTTCGAGGTGTAATCATTGTCTTTTTTTTTTCAAAAGTGTCTCTATTGATAGTAACTTTATATTTATTATAGGGTGTTTAATAAGGATAAATATGAAAAGATAATATTAGTTTGAAAGTAGATAATTCCTTTATTAAGGGATGAGATTCGGTTAAAAATGTTTTGTATTTTTGAACGGAAAGAATATTTATTTTTTAGTTATATTGCATATAGATGTAGATGTAGTTAATTATAATACACTTATAAAATATTTATATAGAAGCTTTTCCCTCTGATGAGCATATAGCCATATGCTTCCTCCATTTCTATTTATAAGAAAATCTATCACTTTTTATTTATTTTTTTATATAAATAAGATTACATATTTTAATAATCATTTATTAAATATTTATTAGATTGGCCTTCAAAATTTACATTAACAAGAAATAATTAATATATATTTATATTGATTAATATATGGCATTTTAATCTAATTTTTTTTATTTTCAGATATAATTCTTATGATAAATTAATTTTCTTAAACTGTGTGATACAATTTTTTTCTCTTATATATAAAAATGAAGGGAGCATTCTCCCTTCATTCAAAAATATAATTTTTTGACAAGTCACATGTTAAAATAAGATATTTTTAGTAATCAATATGATCTTTTGAAAATATCCTAATAAATAAATTAATTTATATTTATTTTAAAATAAAACATTCTATCAAATAAAAATAAATATAAAAAATAATATTAATTTAAAGTTAAATAATTATTTTTTTTAAGAATAAAATTTAGCTAAAATTGTCTTGTATTTCTTAACGGAGAAGGTAGAGAAGGTCTAGCAAATTGAGGGCTACTAATACTATCATTGGCTCAAAAAAAAAAAAAAAAACCTGGCTGCCGTCCAATTTCCAAAACACGCGACGCCACGCAACACGGCAACTTAGGAAAAGCGAAAAGACATAAAAGCCATTCTCAGCGTTTAAATTGCGCCAAGGTGACGGCATCTACGAAAACACACAGCCTCTTCTCCGAAACCCTAGAACGCCTCTGAGCTAAAGAAGCATGGTTAGATCTTTCGTCTCTGCTTTCTACGAAACCCCCAGTCGCTCCCTCTTTTTCTAATTGCTTTGCTCCTGATTTCCCTCACCCTCCCTCGTTCCCTCTCTCTACAAATCTGTTCTTTTCAATTCTTGGTTGACTCGCACGGCTTCCTTCATATACAGTGTGCAATTTTCTTGCAATCTCCAGGTACTTTTCCTGTCGTCTTTTTACGTTCTCATGCTCTGTGCTGATGTGAAATCTCAGTGATTCTTTTTTGGGTTTAACAATGGGTTTTGAATATATAGATTTCTTTCATATTCCTAATTAAACTAGGCTTACATGATCAACTTAGTGGATAAGTGGACCCCTGCTGCAATCGTGGACTACTTGAAGAATGAACTTAGGGTCCGTGTTGCTTGATCTAGTACTTCCTGTCATCGGGGTCACTTCTTTTTATGCTTGTTCAAGGAGGATTTTTTCAGATGAACTGTGCAGCTTGTGATGATCAAGGCAACATAATCATTGTGAAGAAGACAGTCGTTGAAAGTTTTTGCTAATTTGAGCTGCTAATTTGTCTGGAGGGGACTCCTGAATTAGTAAATTCGCTATTTACCTTTTGAAGTTTGGCAGGTTGTGGACTTGTGACCGAGTGTTGGAAGGGGATACAGGGTCCAATAGGTTGGGGTTTTGAACTATTTAGGGTTGTTTACTGTTTCAAAGTATGGATTAGGCTATTTTGGACTGCCAAGAAGTGTATTTTAAATCATGGGGTTCAAACTATCATCATGGCATGAACATCCTAACTATCATCTTGATGTTTTCCTTTATCAAAATGCAGCTATGAACATGCTTTTGCATAACCTAGGTTGAAAAAGTGAGGTCTCTTTTGGTTTCTAGCATGGGGAAAACTGGGTTTTGGCTTCATGACCTAGGTTTTTGAGTTTTCTAACTCAAGATAAAAACAATCACTAACTCTCATTCTGTTGCTTGTTCAATATCTTTATATTTAGATGGTCAGAGGTGAAAGGGGCTACTAGAGTCTAGAAGACTAGAATTCCAGCGCCTAGAGGCAATATGGAAAGGCTAAATTTGGAATTCCTTAATTACTGAAATTATACTTAGTGCTAGTTTGCTTGTATCGACTATTCAAAAGCCGTATCGACTATTATTGATTGGACTTATGGCTTTTGTGGCACAGTTTTATCCTTTAGAATAGGGGTGAGTGTGGTGGACATGGATTTTAATTGCCACACCTATGTAAGTTGAATAGTGAAAGAAAGCAACTTGTAGTGGGTTAATTTAAAATTAGTCTAGAACCTCAATATTGGTGTTCTTTAATGCATTGCAAAATACAGATATTTCTTTCAGGTAGGAAAGGTGAGTGCTATGTTTCAGTTGGATTGGTGTTAGAGGCCTTTTCATTCTAAGTTAACTGCAATACTACATGATATCTGTTATAATTGCTTGTGTCACAACTATTCAACTGAACTCTATCGATTTCTTTCTGCATATTTGCCAGGTCTTCATTAGTAGTATTTTCTGAAGAATATACTTCTGTCATAGCCAGTGCAATGGCTACTTCCTTGGATATGTCACTTGATGATAGGATAAAAACCAGAAGTAACAGGGAGAGGGGTAGAGGGCGTGGCAGAGCCCCCCGTGGCCGTGGAGCAGGTCAGAATCTTGGGGTTGGAAGAATGCCTGGTGCAGCTCGTAGAGCTCCTCTTGGAATTAATTCTCGGCCATCTGCTTATGCCATTGCCAAGGCAAGCTAAATAAATGGATGCTTATGCGTGTGATTGAGAATCTGATATACTATAAAATTCCCAATTATGAGAGGATACCTTATTCAGCGCTGTAGGAACTGAAAAGCAAGAGCAATTCATTAATATTTGTTCCACGGAGAAGCTCAATTATTGCTTGGTCATTTTGCGTCCTCGATGCCTATGTTATAGTTCCATTCTGTTGCAATTAACATGCACCTAAGAGTTGTTTGCTTTTGTTTTTGGGGCTTTGCTACAGAACTCTGATATTTGGTGGCTCCTGGCATGTATCATGAAGGAACTTCGTTAGATATATTTCAAAACGGAGCTCTTACCAGGAGCACAAAAATCATATAGCTAGCAATAAGATGGGTTAAATGATCTAAACCATGCTAATTCATTTGATTTAGATGAGGTGGCTTTTAGTGTTTGATGATTGGCTGTGTGGACCAGCATTTAATGGATCCTCTTGCTAAGTTGGTTCTACGGCACAAGATTTCAGTTAACTTCCCTAGTTCATGGTATTTTGCAAAGGAGCTTCCTTCACGTAACCTCAGACCTGGAGCTCTCACTTGTTGCATAGCACCTGTTTATGTGCAGTGGGTTGAATTCTTACTCCTGTTTCCCACCATTCGCCTAAAATAATGATTTTTGAGTATGGAATTTCTTAAATGTTTTGCTTTGGTCAGATCTGCTTCATAAACAGCTTTTATTTTTTTGTGGAGATTTCCCTGATCCCTAACTAGTCTTGAAGAATGGTGAATATCTTCTTACATGTGTTTGCCACTGTGGGATGTGTTCTATTTGCTCTTGCCAGTCTATGCGCAGAACCAGGCGTTTTCCATGGCAGCATGATTTATTTGAAGATAGCCTAAAAGCTGCAGGGATCCAAGGAGTAGAAGTAGGCACAAAGTTGTATGTTTCCAACTTGGATCATGGAGTAACCAATGAGGATATAAGGGTACAGCTCATGTTATATTCTTTCAAACATAATCAATGTTCCTAACCAATCTCTCTTGAAGTTCTGTTGAAACTTGGATTTGCAATTCAGGAACTTTTTGCGGAGATTGGAGACCTGAAGCGCTATGCAGTTCACTACGACAGAAATGGACGTCCTAGTGTAAGTGTTGGGCTTTAAATTACTAGCATTATATATATATATATATATATATATTCCTTGGTTAGTCTTTATCTTGGTCCAAGTTGGTGCACTGGCTTCCTGTAGTGATTCTCTTCTTTCTGTCTCTTGTACTATTTTAGTTGAATAGCTCTAGTATTTCCTTGTTTATATAATTAATACATCCTACCTGATACTCTGGGAGACCCTTCATCTCATGTTGGGTCGAGATTTGCCACTTTATGCATTACTTTCTCTGTATTGCAGTGCTCCCTATACTTACCGTATGACGCACGGATATTTCAAAAAAGTAAACATATCCGTATCCGATACATATCCCATACAGTACTTGTAGGATACTTCTACATGCGTATTGCATATTCTAACATTTGTAACATGATTTTTTTCCAATAATTTTTTACTATATCACTTAAAAATTTGAAAAAACACTTAATATTTTGGTTGATTGCTATAAACATCTTTATATTATTTTAGAAATTGTAGTTTAAAAATCAAAATATCTATACCTATATCATAAAATGTTGAAATATATATTATAAATATCCCTGTACTTGCATCCTAAAATTTTGAAAGTATTGATATGCATGTTTCAGTCATTTTAACTTAACTTTCAAGGTTTCAAACCGGTAAGGCAAATGTGAGAAAGTATTGATATGCATGTTTTAGTCATTTTGACTTAACTTTCAAAAATTCAAATATTATTTGGTCATTTTATTTTTTTCATTGGTTACAGGGTTCTGCTGAAGTTGTCTATACTAGAAGGAGTGATGCATTTGCAGCTCTTAAACGATACAATAATGTTCTTTTGGATGGAAAGCCCATGAAGATTGAAGTTGTTGGTGCCAATGCAGAATTGCCTATATCAGCTCGGGTGAATGTGTCTGGGATAAATGGGCAGAGGAAGAGGACAGTTGTCATGACGTATGTCATTGTTATTTATGTATTTCTCTTGCAATAAAATAAATAGTCCAAACTAAATGCCAAAAATGTTTCTCCTTCCACTTTATATGGTGTCTCTGACATTGATCTCTAAACTTCTCTATATAAGAAATAGAACTTGTTTCAGAACGTTCATTGATGTTAGAGGTTTTGCAGGCCTGGAGGTCGAGGTCGACCTGGAGGTAGAACTGGAGGTCCTGCTATGTTTAATCGTGGTCCAGGGTAAGTGTTTGTTAGTAGACGTGGAATGTCTGTTATACATGTTTTGCATTACTAAAATGTCTATTGAGAATAATACTTTCATACAAATGAATGAATCTGATCTTTTATCTCAAGCTAATTAAAGAATTGATCATTTTCCTTTTATAAATTTAATTTAATGATCCCACTTAGATTTCTTTTGATTTACCAAAAAATGTTGAATGATTTGAGCTTCAAAGCTCAATAAAGTCATTTATTATTAAATTTTTTCCATTAATCTCAACTATTGATTTGTGTTGTCAGGGTAATTATTTTCTCTTTCTACCTCTCAGTTTACATCCTTTTGTTATATAAGGTTACTAATTGATTAAATGATTTAAAGGGTCTTTGTGCTATATGGCCTTGCCACCCTGAGTTGAGCAAGGTCCAAATGGTGTAGAGCTGCTTTGTTTTCAGGAATTTGTATAGTGTTGTGCACTTACGTGCTTCATGATGATTTTATACTCTTATGTAGCAAACAAACTTCAATAATTGAACTAACTTGATTTGTTTTGTATTTTTTCTGTTGTAAGATTGTTTATTGATTTAATCTAGACCAGGTGGATGGTGTCCACTAAATTGTTCTCGTAATTCTTGGCAGTATCTAAGTAGCTAAGATGTTGTACGTTCACAGATCTGGTGTTACTTGTGGTGTGGTCACCGTTTGTGGTGCTACCCAAGAATTTTCATGGTCTGTCTGTAGTCTATATGATGTAGCAGGATCTCAGCATCGTATAAATTGTTATTTTACAAATACTTGGGATTTGGAATTTATTTTTCTTTAAATAATATTTGTGCACAGATGGGGACGTCGTGGTGGTGGAAGGACTGGTGGCATGGGCATGCGTGGCCGAGGTGGTGGACGTGGTAGGGGTCGGGGCTGGGGTCGCGGGAAGAAGGATGCAGTTGAGAAATCTGCAGCGGAACTTGACAAAGAACTGGAGACTTATCATGCTGAGGCCATGCATATCTCATGAATTCTGAAGCCAGCAGTACTATAAATATTAGCCATGGCTTGCTATTAGCACTGTACAAAAGTGTTTTTTTCTGGCTACCCATTACACCAGTGTGTTAGTTTGCGTTCTGTTTTGGTCCTATTGAAATCCTTTTGAGGCGAAATGAATCTGTCAGATATTAGATAGAGTTGGGGTGCTGTTTTTGTTTGACTTTGTATCTCAATTGCTGGCGTAAATTTTAACTCTAATCTATAAACCAATTGGGTCGCTATTGAAGCTCTTCAAATGGTGTGATTTCGATTGACCTCCAGATCCTTCCGAGGCTGCCCCATTGGTGATTTAGACTCATGGAATTGATTGTGTGAATTACAATCTATCGGGTGCAAATTTGTTTGGTAGCTGGATCAGTTTATGCGCAAGTCAGTTTTTTGGGGTCGGAATCATGGGACGGTTGTCTCGCACGCGCACGAGATAATCTGATTTTGGAAGCCGCGTTAGGCGTCTGCTAATCCTGATCTAATCGAACTGGGCTGTGAACTTGTGATTCCATTTACATGGTACTTCGATATTCTTGACATTATAATAATTCAGTCTTTTTTGAATCGTTTTGGGTAAAAGATGTAGACATATAATTTAAGGTTAAGGTGTGTTGTCCATTATTCTTTAAAGGCATTTAGTGTCTTGAAAAATTGTGTGTCATAATGTTACTTTTAAAAATAATTAAAATGTAGCATGTTTGTCTTTAATGTTTAACGTTAGACCACTAAAAATGTTGACTGAACGCGACATGTTATGTTAAGTAAATTCATGTTAAGATATATTTTTGTCTTCAGATTATTTTTCAATTAGTATCTAATGTTTTAAATCATTTGCATTAAATAGCAATTTTACTCACAAAATAATTGAAATATAATTTAGATTTACTTGACATGATAAATGTCATTTTTAATCAAACTTAAGTTTCAATTAGCATTTTTAGTAGCCAACATTTAGGCATCTAACGATAGGAAAAAATATGCTACATTTTAATTATTTGTAAGTAAAATTGTTATAATAAATAGTTTAAAATATTGAATACTTTTTTAAAAATAGCTCATAAGTAAAAAATAAAAATAAAAATGCTCCTTAATCCTATAATTTAAAATTAATTAAACTGTTGTGATTCGCGACCTGGCAAGTGAACTAACGGCCTACGCTGGTGGCGTATTTGAATTCACTGCTTATCTTGAGATGAGTATATTGTGTGTATCAATGTCAACTACAAGTGAATAGTTCGGCTTTTATTTTATTTTCAATCTATGATGTTTTTTAATCTGATGAGAATAGAATGTAAATGCAAATCTTAGTTGTCATTTTTTCCCCCAAAAAAATATATTTTTACACATAAAAAAATAATTGGGGCTACAAAAATAAAAGGGAAAATTAATGTCTTTATTTCAACACAACGTGCTAATCACTGAAAAGAGCACAAAATCTAGATTCATCCTTACTATTGCAGCATTTGTTCCACTTTCACTAACCAATCAAAATTTTATTTTGGCAAATAAAAATTAAACACCTAACACACAAGTGTCATGAGTCAGACACCGGCCATCGAACTTCATCCTGTCTGGTAACGAAAGAGAACTACTGAATTGAACCAATAGAGATGCTTAAAATGATCTAAATGCACACTGGCAAACGAAAATCTAAATGCAAATGCTTTCCATTTCTTTAAAAAAGGAATAATACATAGCTCATACACGAGCATCAAGTTCAAAAAGTTTCAGGAACAACACATTTTGACACCTTAGATCCCTCCTAACGGTATCACTTAACTTTTTAACATGATAAATAAATGTACAATGAGGCAATGATGATAACAAGAATAATAATAACGAACTAAAAATATATTCAACCTAAAGACCTCATACAACAAAAAATGTCATTTTGGGACACTTGAATCTGTTGTACTTATATCCCTTTTGAAACGCAGATCTCCTGTCTCACTTTTATTGAAAAGTTTCTCAACAACTTCATCCCAATTCAGCCTTCCAGCACTTGACTCAGATTTGCCACTTGTGCCATCATTTTTGCTTTCATCATTGTTGGAAGGCTCTCCCTCTCCTTCCTCCTTCCTCTCAGAGGCTTCATCCTCTGCAGCTTCCACTGCATGAGGTACGTTTAAGCTAACAGCTCTTTCCAAAGCATCCTTGTGCTCTTTCTCAATTGTCTGCAACCTCTGCATTTTCTGTACCGTCGGAGGAGCCGTCACAGTTTCTGGCATGCTTTCTTTCATTTTCTACAAAATAAAAACAGAAAATCTGAGTCTTTGGGCAGAAGAGATGAGGAACTCGCTAATAGCAAATGGAGACTTGGTGAAAACTCGACTCATAGAAATAACTATGATCTTGGAAAGAAATCAAGAATTAGCGGATTAGAAGTTGAAGCCCCACCTCCTTTTCGCCTCATCCTTCCACCTCTCTGTAGAAACTATGGTTTAGATCCTGTTCGAGTTTTTCAAAACTAGTTACAAACAGTTATCTTTTAACTTAAGACCAAAATGGGTAAGCAGCGGATCAACTGATCTAAATCAAGTTCAATAATAACGTTTTAGTGATAGCCAAAAATAAAAACAGAAAATACAAGAAAACCAAGTTTGAAGGATTTTTTCCTCAAAAATGTCCCAAGAAATGACCACCATAGATTATTATTTCATTCATGTGGAAACCAAGGGCAGGCTGAAAATGTACAAATAAATTTCTTATCATGTCACGAAGTAACCATCAGCGGATTCAGATATGAAGATTTTTCTATAAGAAGTCCAAGATGGTAAAAATCCCTAATTGGGAACCATTAGGGCATTGGCATCCTAAAAGTAGTTTGAATTTAAGGTTTAGAGTTAAGAAACGGGAAAAACAATCAATGGCAAGGATGTAAGGCTGGGAAGCACTCCCAGCCCCAACCTTTGGGACTGGCTTCCATAATTGAATATCAAAATTAAACACTTGGTTTTAGATTTTACATCACAATTCACACCCAAGAAGCAAAAAGAAAGATAGAAATTCTGTCAACATAACTAACTACCTAACTACCCACTTGTTAAAGCTTTTAATCGTATGACACAAAAAATCACCAGCATGTCATGAAACAAATTTCATTAATGTTTGATTCCCTCTAGCATGAACATGTGAAAAATAGTGAGTGATTTTCTAATTGAAAGGAAAAGAAAAAATTTTCATATCTGACTGTCCAACTCTAACTTGCTTACGGTATGAAATCTTTCAAGCAATTATTAAGGCAGTTGAAAGGTGGGGGGGGATTGTGATTTTCCTCCCAGATACAGCATATTCTGTTGTTATAATAATGATTCGGGAGAAAAGCATAACATATAGTAAATGGTGGATAGATTTTCAATCTTAATTCCTCTTACATTTAAAGCCTTTTCTGCTTCTCTTTCAATCCAAATAATTCCGTGGTCTGACGTTGCATTACAAGACAAGACAATATGCTCAAATCTCCCATCAACTGGAATAGCAGTCCTCACTTCTGGAGGGAACCTCCCACATCTGTGTTCACCAAGGAATGAGGAACTTCATAGTGACACAGTGAAGTACTGGTAGACATAGTCCAGGACAAGATTTAGCCATGCACATGGTACATCATATTTAAAATCCTAATTGTATTGGAAGAATTTCTTTTTTCGTCCTAAGACACTATAATTTGTTTGGGTTCCTTAATGCAATTCATAGAAAATGCTTTAACTGGTGAAAATCCACCAAGACTTTAAAGAGACCCCCCAAAAAAAAAACACCAGTTAGAACATTGGAACTAGTTGAGTTGAGACTCAGATATAAGAAAGTGTTTTCCATTACAATTATGCAAAATAGGCATTACAACTCCAATCAAAGTCAAACCCCACACCTCTCATGCGAGACAAATAAGCACCTAGGCTTGTGGGAAGTGGTTGTGTTGGGATCATTTCGGAAGAGGTTTTGAAGACAAAATAGATAATAACTTTCTTACCAAGCAAAACCTAGAAAAAATGGCTTTTATAAATTTTCTGAAAATAGAAATGTTTCAGACATAGTAAATAGATTTCGTAGGCAACTAAAGAAAAAAACTTGAGGTGGGGTCCGAAAAAAAAAAAAAAAAGACTAGCAAGTTTGCATCAATTTGAAAATGTAACTACATTCATAATTATACGGGAATTTACTATTTTCGAAGCTGTCACAAAATCAATACCTGCAAAATTTTCTTTCCACGATATGGTACATTCGTCCAGGTGCATAAAGTCTTCTGGGATCTCTAAGCTTTCTTCCCTCTGGTACGAAGGTGTCCCTCAAGCAAACCAGGAATAATAAGCAGGGCAAGCTGTTTAAACCATCAAGCCCTGGTTTAAGAGACCATAATAGTAATTTAATCCACTTAATTAACAAGTTGAATGAACAGCACAAAGACATGAGAGCAGAACACTAACCAGAAGATTGATTTGAATATATCTTCCAATGGCGTTGGGGTTCTCGGTAAGAAATCATCCTGCGTAATGGAAAGAAGGTAATGTAAACCAACACCATCACTGTAGTTTAATAACAAGTGTATAATTAGTAGGTCAAAAAAAAAAAAAACAAGTGTATAATTAAAAACCGTCATAATTAGTTCAAAATAAAAAGTGCAGTGCATGCATAGGATGTAATTTAGTTGAAACCGTTTGAATGATCTTAAACCCACAAGTCAATGACAACGGATACTGATAATCAAATTAATCAATTCTCAATGACAACCGAAAAAGAAAACCAGAAAAACCACCTAGTTCAGTCAAAAGTCAGAAAGCAAGAAAGTTGATCACCTGCAACACTATAGAATGTATGACATCCGCATATTTGACTGCCAAATTCAGTGACATGCACCTCGCAGGTGCTATCGCGTAACATTGAATCTTGTTCCTAGGAATCCCTCCAAATTGGTCCCTATGATTGACAACCATTATTGTCAACAAGGAAACCACACCAGAACCTAAAGAATGCCCAGCAAATACCATTTTATAATCGGACCCACTGTCAATCCACAACTGCTTCAAAGTCTCCGATTCCTGTTTGAGCAGCCAAAAAGCAGATTTCAACAGACCGTGATGGACGTAGCCACCATCGAACTTCTGCATACCCAAGCGATTGTCCAAAAGCATCTTGTAATCACTCTCCACGGCGAGATTGAGTCCCCGAACGGCCAGCACAATCTCGCGGTGTTCGTGATCAGTGTAAATGAGATAAGGCGGCGTGTGGCCCCCCGTCTGCTCGTAGGAGACGCGCTTGACGATCCAATCGGGGTTGAGACGGAACCCGCCGGCAGGTTCGTAATGTGGACTGCGAAGATTAGGCTCGTAGATGGCGAGGATCAATCGGCAGGCGCGAGGGACGGGTTCGAACTCATCGACGGTGGCAGAAGGCCAGGTGGCGCTGTCGTAGGATCCAATATAGGTGCAGCGCTTCCACATCCAGCGACTAAAGCCAAGTATGAAGACACACTCGACCCCGCAAGTTACAGACATGTTGGCGAAATCTAAGATCGTGGGCGATGGAGATTTGCAGGATGGGACGAAGAAAATGGGAATATTTGAGTTCTCCGATAGCAACGGAAGCTAGATTCGCGTGACAGGCAGAGCCAGCGTATCTGGTGGTAGAGTGTTTATCTGGCAGCTAAGCTCAATGCTTTTAACCCCATGGGAATATGGGATGCTCACATGGAAATCTCGAGAGAGAGGGAGAAAGAGATGGATTGTTTATGTCACGATGCGATGGCTCACTTACATGCTTGTCTTTAAGCTGAAGGCATTGTTTTTATTTTTCAGTCAAAATTGAACATTTAAGGAAGACTTACACCTAAATTTCACAAAAGATATTTAATTATTAAACAGTTTTATAAAAAATATAAGGAAAAATTAGTTTTTTAATTCCTGAACTTTTAACCCACTTGTAATTCAATTTTTCAATTATGACTCACTGTCACTCAATCTCTCAATTATAACTCGCTACGACTCAGTCATTCAACTTTTGATTCACCTATAATTTAATCTTTATTTTTTAATTTGTTTTTAAAAAATTCTTATCAAATAAGAGGGATAAAAAAAATGCTCATACATTATTTTAAAATATCCTTCTCTTGCTGATTAATGCGAAATCTAAGCTAATATGAAAAAAAAATTAAGAAAAGTTAAAGGACTAAATTATAAGTGATTCAAAAATTGAGGAATTAAGTTATAAGTGAGTCATAGTTAAAGGATTAAGTTACAAGTAAATTGAAAGTTAAATGATTAAAAAATTAATTTTTTTAAAATATAAAATATTTTTAATCTCATATCTATGTCATTTAGCCTAGTTATAAATAACCTTTATTAATTTGTAAATGTTCATTATTTGAGGCTCCGAAGTATTTTATATATTTTATGAGTTTTTTTAGTAATTAGATATCTTATATGGTCCTTAGGTGTTATTTTTCCAATATTTAATCTTTATAACTTTTTAAAATTTTTGACCCAGTTTCTATTATTTATTTTTTATAACAAATCAATCCCTGCCCTTTTCGAAAAGCATTGTTTTGCTTTGTTAAAATAGTGTCTTTTTTAAAAATAAAAAAATAAAAGGCACAGCAAAAAATGATATAATTTTTTTTTTTGCAAACTCAGCAAAAATCATACAACAGGAATAATTTAATAATTTTTGGTGAAATAATTTAAATACCCTAAGTTTAAAATAAAAAATTATTAGTGACTATTTTAATTTAAATAATAACTATTTTTTTGACAATAATTAGAATGAAACGACCAATTAAAACTTTTCTTGTACAAATTTTTTATTAATTGAAGTTTAAATGTTGTAAATATTCGTGGCTACTTTAAAAAATGATCATTTTTCTTCTAGTAATGATGAGAATGAAATAAATAATTACAACTTTCCTGTGTAAATTTGCAAAGTTAAAGTTGTAATTGCTTATTTCATTCTAGTCAATATGAGAAGAAAAAATGTCATTACTTGAAATAGTCACTAATATTTATTTTTAAGTTAAAGTATATTTTTACTTGTGTGCTTTTTTTCGAAGAGTATTGAATATCATGTATTAATAAATATAGCATTTTTCTCCTTAAATTATTTTTTTTTAGAAAAACAAAACTCCTCCTCCGTTGACTTGAGAGGTATGAAGGCCAATAGAGTCCCATTGACAAGAAGAGAGCAAAATTGTGCATAGACCCAAATATAAACTCAAACCATTTTGGTCTCAGTTTATTAAACTTATCAAGATTACATGTACCTGTTCAAGTTGCCTTGCGCTTATATTTCATGAACAACTCAAATGTATTGTATTTACAAGTAGGGGAAGAAAGAACGACATAGTAAAAATATTTTTTTGGCCAAATCATAATTTTCAAGTCTGTCATTTAATGTTGAGACATGGAGCACAAACAAGGTTTTTAATTTGGGATTTCATTTTCGATGTTGGCCTCTATTTTTTTTGATTTCATAATACTAATTGAATGTCATGGTTTATGTAGTAGTGTTATGCATGCTTCAACCTCTCCTGGTTTTCATATGCATCATTTTCTTTCATTGGTAAGGGTCAATGGCACTTCAACTCACTTGATCAAATTAATGATCTACAATTCCTTGATTGTCCCTAAATCAAAAATCATAGATTTCTCTCATAGTCAACCTTAAAAACCTAACTGCAGGTGCAAGAGAAGAATAATGTGGGGCGATGTGATGTGACTAAAGAAGTAGAGAGAACTGTAAGAATTGGGAGAAAAGGGAATGGAGTTACTGTTTAAGATTCATGTATAAATTAAATTTGTTTGCTTATTCTACTGGTTATTTTGTTATTCTCTCCATCTAAGTTTATAAGATATTTTTGATAAAATTATGTATCTCAATAAAATTTATTAAATATACTTTACTATTTTTTAAAATACAAATAAAAATTTTCAGAAAACACCTTTTATTTTTCGAGCAAATATAAATGAAATTTTATTTTTATTAAAATGATTTATACAATGAGATGGAGTGGGTATCTTGCTAACGATCTTTTGAGCATATATACTCTCATGTTTGCCTATAAGCAATCCCCCTTGCCTAGCAAACAATTAATGGTGTTATTAAGAAAAACAATAAAATAATAAGGAGTAGTTCTTACAGTTTGAAAAGTGTACGGATAGATTTTAGAAATATTTATATAGGGACCAAATGTTAAAATTAAATAAACCACAGGCTAAATGATTAATGTTTTTTTTTTATAACAAGGGAATTGAATTCAAGTTGATCCACTCTTTATTGAATAAAATAATACTATCTCTTTTATTATTTAATTATATTAAAAATTCTTTCAGGGCATCAGTTGACACATTTGACGGCAAATGTATTTAGGCCTCGTTTGGTATGATGGAAGAGTTTTTGATGGAATCGGAATCGAAATTGAAATTGGAATCGGAATTGGAATCAGAATAGAATTGAGTTATAAATGTATGTTTGGTATGAAGATGGAATCTGAATATAATATTAATAAATATATGTATTTAAAATAGATAAAGACCAAAATGCCCTTATAAAAAAAATAAAAAACTCAACCATCATGATGGAGTGTGTATGTGGGGCACTTGTGGCAATTCCATGGAATTGTGGCAATTCCATCATGATGAAGATGGAATTAAATTCTAGGTATTTTGGTTGAATTGAAATCCATAAGGAATTGGATTCATGCATACCAAATAAGTGAAAACATGATTCCAATTCCAATTCCATTTCTCTTGGACCCAATTCTAATGTACCAAACATGACCTTAGAATATCATCTATGTGAAGGTTATTTATTCAAACTGAACCTCGACATATTTTCTTTATAATTTGTTAAAGAATTATGATTTATATTTATATTTTAGAAATAGATAATTCAGCTTCCTATGAGTTTTATTTTGTTATATCTTTATACAAAGTTTCAAGTATGAGCTGCAGCATTATAAAAACAAGTTACAACTTTTTATAAATTTTATATTATGTAAAACATGCTTATATTATAACTTAAACTTTAAGAGACGATTAGAATCAATTAAGTTGGGCGGAACATCTTGGACATAATTTTATTTCATTTTTACAGAGAAAATGAAATAATTAAAGAATCTGAATAAATGATGTAAATGGCTAATAGACACTATAACTAATTATGAATAAGTATAAAATATTAAATTTATAAACATTATTACCAACACATGGATAATATAATATATTTTTAAATAGTGTTGGCACGTATTAAATGGAATAGGGTATACACATGAATGACAAGTCTAAATCATACAGCTAGTGCGATGTCGACGGACTGGATCCACTATGTTATAATAAAGCACAGATACGCCACCTAATCAAAACAATTATTCCATCTCTGTCCCAGCTAATCAAAATAAAATATTTTTTTTTTATTTTTAACTTGTTTGTACTTATTGTCTTCTCTATTTAGGCCGTGTTTGGCATCTAGAAAACGATTTTTATTCCTATTTTATATCAAACAGGTTTACAACTTGTTTGCCATTGCATTAGTTTTAATCCAACCACCCTAAATATTTTGGCCGAATTGTGATTTTAACCAAAACCATGACACCAAACACACTTGAAATTTAGACCAGGTCAATAATAAAACTATCCTAAGAACAACGTCATCTCTATCATTTAAAAAAGAGATTCTAAACTTGATCTTGAGGTTGATTTGTATGTGTGTTTCATTTGATTTTGTGTGTGTATATAAACGAACTTAAACCATTTCCTTATCTATTACCAGAATATGTTCCATGAAGCCTACTTCTTTTCTGGTTTCTTAATTCACCATTACTTTTCTTGATTGATGACTCCTCTTTATTATTTTAGTATTCCTTCTTTTTGTTCTCTCTGAAAATAATTTTAGATTAGTCGTCCGCTCTATTATATGGAAAATAATAAATATTTGAAGAATTTTAGTTGAATCAATTAGGTTGTTATTTTAATTAATGAAGGATTATCATGAGAATTGAGAAGGCTTAGTCTAGCCCCAAAAAATTGGTCCAATGGATAAAAAGATTGCCCACAATTCATATGACACAAGAAAATATGTTTAAATCTCATTAAGGATATGTGGGCTTTACTAAGAGGTAATTTATAAATAGTTTTTTTTTTTTGGTTACTTATAAAGTTTAGGGTTTAAATCTCCGTGTGGGAGATAATTATATTTGGAGTATTATTGAATATTAAATGTAAGCATATCTTTTAATAAAGTGTAGAGATTTAAATATTGATTTATCATATTATGAGAAACTAGTCCATTTTATTAAACTTAATTTTTATTGGTTAAATAGTTAAATACATGTATATAACTACTCTAGGTTGTAAGATTGTGTTGGCTCTAATCAATTTTAAGACTTAATTCATTCAAATTTTTTGCTTTTTTAAAATGGAATATATTGATAAAGGATTTTGAACTGTTATCAGATATTAAATTCTTTTATATTGTTGGTTGATAGTCTTTCTTAAAAAAGCGTTAATTTTAAAGGAAGCAAAATATGAAATTGAAGGTGTTCACGATGAAGTAAATGGAGACGCCACGCGATTACTTGTGATATTTCAATGCCCACGCGATGGACACATTTGAACGTTGAAGGAGAATGAATTTTTTGCAGATGAACAAGTCAAATTAAAAATAAAAAGAACATACTTTTTCCAGGTCCTTCAGTCTGAACTCTGAAGTTTCCATGAAAGAAAAATTCCCTCTCTTTCTCCAACTTTCTTCTTCGTCAAGGAATTCATTATGAGGTAAGGGTGCATTTTTGTCATATATTTTTTTAAAAACATTAAGCAATTTAAATTATTGGTTGAAGAAATGTTGCTTTTAAACTAACTAAGTAGAAACATTTTTACCCTTGTTGTCAAATTTTCAACGTTGATCATTAAAAAATGTTAATGAAAATTCCAACATTAGATCATTAGGGAATTTAACGATAAGGGCAAAAATAATTCTTCATAATTACTTTAAAAATAAAATTACTTTGATTAATAGTTTATGATGTCGAGTGCTCTTTAAAAGAATAATCTAGAGGCAAAATACACATTTATCTCATTCATTATTCACAAACTTCTTGTTTCCTAGCGTTCAGACGAGAGTGGTCCAACTTAGTGCCATGTGAAAGAGTTTTGGAGCTTAAAGCAAAATTTTTTAAAAAGCCTAATACATTAATCATGTTGTTGAAAAATATAAAATATTTTTAAATAAATTTTACAGTTACCTACTTTCAAACTACCCATATTGTTTCATATTTACCTCTATTAAATACTCTATAATAAATATAAAATCATTCATTAATAGGGGTACTTTTTAAAAAAAGTCAATCATTATATTTCAAAAAATTAAAAATGTCTTATATTTTTAAACACTCAACTCCTCAAAAAATTTCTTATATTTTTTAATAGAGGGAGTATTATATATTTATTTTTATATTACTTTTCTAACTGTTGCAAAATCATATATAAATTATTCAAATGGCCTAATGCTTAATAAACAAAATTAACCGGTTATATAGGATATAAACAGGTAACAAATTTTTAATTTTTAATAAAAGTATATAATTAACATTAATATTTAACAGGAAAACTACTGATGTGTTATATAGAGTATGAGTAAATATTTTTTGAAGCCTAAAGCAACTGTCTTGATGGCCTAGCGTCACACATATCTTTCGTAAAACTACATGGGACTTATTTTTTTATTTTTATTTTTTGGAAAGTCAAGTCTGTACAATTTAAAATGTTTCTATAAGAATAATGACAAGACGTTCAATAACACATGATACACAATTCCTCGAACAACCAAAATGAAGGAGTTTTCAAGTATAGAATCAAATTATCCATATTTAAAAACATATTTACCAAATATTCAATATGCCCGACCCATGTTTCTTTCTAGCTAATTGGTTTCTAATTGGAAAATTATAAAAAGAGAATGCATGATAACTTTAACTCCGCTTATTGTATAGAACCTAATTCAATTTTATGATAGGATTTAGTCTGATTCTTTATGCTTGAAGCTCAAGCCTAGCACTGGCTTCTGGCCAAAAAAACAAAGAAAAAGAAAAAGAAAAAAGTCTAGCCTGGGACGGATTCAGAATGTAGCAAATGTATTGGGGGGCCAAAATTAATTTTTTTTATTTTTTTAAATAAAAAGGAAGAAAATTTATCAAAAAAGTTTTCAAAGGGGGGCAAGCACCCCTGCATGCCCCCCTCCCCAACAGATCCGTGCCTGAATCGAGCACTGGCAAGTGGCAAGTGAATTTATCATTATGTCTATCTCTCACTAATTTTATTGAATACCCAGTTGAAGAAACAATTAAATTAAGTCTCAAACTGGGCCAATAATATTATTAGATCTGTATTACTTGTTTATATTTTCTAATTTTTTTTCTAACCTATCTAACCCGTCTCCGCAAGAAAGAGGGTTTCACATACATACATTGCACCCCCACACAACACACAGCACATAACACCTAACCAACCCCGCCTCCCGACCTCCCCTCCACACACCCCTAGCCCAAATCCCCACAACCCCTTGTATCGAGGGGGGTTTATGCTATTGAACCAAATGTTCTTAGACATGCTTGTGCATAGTATAATTAAAATTTATGCTTTCTAGTTAATTAAGCTATTTATGCATAGTATAATTAAAATATAGTATAGAATCTTCTTAGATCTTTTTCTCGCCAAATATGAAGCTTTCTTTCTGTACCTTCAAAGCCTCCACAAAACAAAAGTGTTTCACCTGAAGGGGGGGGGAGTCTTCAACATGCGGCAGAAAATTACTGTATATCCTAATAAAACCCAATATGCAGCAGCCTAAATCAATAAAATATATTGCTTTCTGGAGGGTCAAACCTACCTTTGAGGCACTTCGATTTTCCATTTCAAGTTGACAAAATGGTAGTTGAACAATCTTGAAATTGAGCAATTTCATATCAGTATCATCAATGGGCTAGTAATTAGTTTCCTTGATCAGATCACCTTGCCTTCCCCCTTAGGTAAACTTCAGGCAACTTTAACTCACAATGAAGAAAACTTTCAGAACCAGCATGGCAGGCTCAAAAACCTGGTCAGATCACTTTGCTTTCTCCTCAAGAATGCTTGTGGTTTAGAAAAAGAGCATACTTGGAGGACTTGGCATACATGACTACTGCTATAAAATGGGTGAGTTTGTGGTGTATTTGAAGAATAAGCTGTGGACAAAAGAAGATGAAGATGAATATGCAAAGTGGAGGAGTGAGTTTGAGTGTGTTGACGTTAATAATATTGTCATCATCAAGAGAGGGTATGGCAGAAATAGTGACGTATGTATTTGGGGATTCACTGACAGAGGTGGGAAACAATAACTATATGCAGTATTCTCTGGCGAGGTCCAACTATCCCTGGTATGGCATTGACTATTCTGGAGGCCAACCTACTGGGAGATTCACTAATGGCAGAACTATTGGTGATATCATCTGTACATTTCTCCAAATCTCTCTCCTTCTTGTGTTTTTAATCTTTTTACAACACAAGTATTATTAGTATTTACTATACACTCACCCTGTACTTACCGAGCCCATGACTTGTCAATAGTGCCACCTGCCACTTTCTACAGTTCTATACACTCCTTTTGAATTACGATATAAAACATTTATTTGAAATTATGTTTGACTTAAAATGTAGAGCATTGAGTAATTTTTGTAATTTTTTTAACTATGCTCCTATTTTATTTGTCATTCTTTTTTTAAAAAAATATATATGGAAATATCAATTGTCACCTGCATTTATTGGGATATTTCAACATGAGGCTTTTGATGATGACAAACTTTTATGAAATTTTGCAGCAGAAAAGCTGGGAATCTCATCACCGCCACCTTATTTGTCATTGTCTCCAAATGATGATGCTTTCCTTAAAGGCGTTAACTTTGCTTCTGGAGGAGCTGGCATCCTCAATGATACTGGCCTTTATTTCGTACGCTCCAACTCAAATCAATCATCTTCCCTAATCACAGATTATTGCTGCCATAACTTATTAAGTATAAACTATAATCTCTCTCTCTCTCTTAAACCTTTCAGATTCAGAGGCTGTCTTTTGACGACCAGATCAATTGTTTCAACAAAAGCAAAGAAATCATGAAGGCAAAAGTTGGCCAAGAAGCCGCCAACAAGCTTTGCAATGAAGCCTTGTACTTTATTGGGATCGGTACGCTTTCTTCAACTTCAAATCTCGCTTTTCCTTCCTTTCCTTTCTATAGATTTGTAAACACGTCCATTATTTTGTAGAACAAACCATGTATTATTTCAGTTGTGTTTTTGCAGGGAGCAATGACTACGTGAACAATTTCTTGCAGCCATTTCTCGCTGATGGTCAACAATACACCCACGATGAGTTCGTTGAGCTTCTGATATCAACTTTAGATCAACAACTAACGGTATGAATCATGGCCATTTACATCAGCTTTAATTATTGTCTTAAAAGATTTGGTTTTCTGATGGAATTGAAATGAGCGTGTCAGAGACTGTATGAGCTCGGAGCAAGAAAAATAGTGTTCCATGGACTTGGCCCTCTGGGGTGCATTCCTTCTCAGAGGGTGAAATCTAGAAGAGGACAATGCTTGAAGCGAGTCAATGATTGGGTCATGGAGTTCAACTCCAGAGTACAGAATCTAATCCACACTCTCAACCATCGCCTTCCTAGTGCAAAACTCGCATTTGCAGACACGTACCCTTTAGTTCTGGATTTGATCAATAACCCAAGTGCATATGGTAATGCATTCGTATATCTTCTTGATCAATATAATAGAGCACATCTAGCAATGATGATGATGATGACAGGTATGTGCTTGCTTGGTCGTGTGTTACACAGGTTTTAAGGTTTCAAATACTTCTTGTTGCAATGTGGACACAAGCATAGGAGGGTTATGCTTGCCAAACTCCAAGTTATGCAGGAACAGAAGAGATTATGTGTTTTGGGATGCATTTCATCCTTCAGATGCAGCAAATGTTGTGCTAGCTGACAAGTTTTTCTCATCCCTTTTTTCATCTGCTCCCTCAGCAGCACCAGGGCCAGCCCCCCAAGTTTTGTAACCCACAAACATAAACAGTGATGTTAATTGTATTGTTTAACTTCATGACAGCATATAAAGTTGCTTCTCTGATTATGAGTCATTTGAGTTTCTGTAAGGTGAGAGATTCAATTCTAACTTTCAGCAAACAGGGATGAGTCAAGAGATTGGGGGGGAGGGGGAATCATTTGATTCTACATTGAAAAACAATAAACTCCTGGTGAAATGAATCTCTAACCTCTGCGTGGCTGCTTAAAACCTTTACCACTAGCTTGGAAAAACTATGATATCATAGTTCAATTGATAATGCCTAATTCAATCCAAATCCTTAGGCTGTTTTTCCATCTTTGTACAAAACTAAATGGGGACCGATTTCAACAACGCTACCAAATGAAAAAGTAGCAGCATCTACCACAAAATTTTGAAGGAAGTAAAGACGTTTTGATCATCTAACCAAAGTTACAAAACCAGCCCCCATACTAAAAATCCTATCACCATTATAATGCTTCTGATTCTCAGTTCACAGGTGCGGAAATTGCTGGCAGAAGAATCTGAACTTGTGGAATTCATTGATGGTGCTGTTATGTTTGAGAAGGTGCCATTCTTGCCAAGACTGCACATATTAACAAAAACCAATCACTTACAAGCAATATGCAGCCAAAGCGAAGTTCAATGATCACTACAAAGCTTATGATATGAAGCAAAAGATTCAAATCTGTCTTACCTTCCTGGAAATATACACGAACCATGACCTGCACACATTAGAATGGACTCATTGGCATTTGCAGTATTAACAATAAAAGAGTAAAATATCATTTGGAGGTCCTAGGAGGATGCACACATTTTAAAATATACTTAGGGAAAACTCTTGTGTTGATTCAATGAACACAAGGTAGAATATATTAACTATGTAACGCATGTTACATATCTTTTCATGATTAGTTTTAGTCTACAAAAATTCTGTATAGTTAAGGATTCTATAAACATTTAGAATCTCATGGAAGGTAGATATTACTTGGATCTGTGGTAGAGACTGTAGCCACTCCATTGAAATCACATGCCTCAGGAGACTTCCCCATCTTAGTATAGTATGCGTCAAAAGCAAAAGTTGCATGAGCAATCACGTTGTCTGGTTCATAGCAAGGTTGTCCCTGAAGCAAGTCAGAGCAATCCACTTTCCCAGGTCCACAAGCCCAATCTAGTGCAGCCTGCACCATCTTAGGGTCAGCACCTTCTTTTGCAATACAAAAAGTTTGATTAGTGGTATCATTAGCCAAAACTGCTCCTGATCCTGTCAAGTGCAAAATATAAATAGGTTCCCCATTTGCATCAAACAATCCCCAGTTCTTCTCTGACACTGGCCCGGGCTTCGTATCCTCATTGTACAGCTCATAGATGTATGTACTAACAGCAATCCCAGGATGTTTTGGAGTCCCTGTTTTGTTCAGCACATGCTTGATCAAATTACTGTTATAAGTATTAGCATTGTCAACTGTAGCATCAGGCTCATTCGAATCACCCTTTGAGGGCCAGCCTGACTCTGTTACCACCACGGGAATGTTAGTGTAGTTCAAAAAGGACATGGCAAAGTAGGCTGCATCCACCACTGCATCAAAGACATTGGAGTAGTGAAGTAGAGTATTGGAGTCTACAGCTTCTTTGTTTGAAGGGAGAGGCTTGAAGAGTGCGTATTCTAATGGAATCACACCATTGGACTTCATGTAATCATAGTAAGGATACACATTAAGCATAAGGTAAGAGTCCGTGGACTGCAAGAAATCAAGCAATGGGACCAAAATAGAGTTCATGGATCGATTGAAAAAGGCCTGGGAAGGAGGGAATGAATCGAGGATGATGGTGGAAGGGAGAGGGGTTGAGACTTTGATTTGTCGATCAAGGTTTGTTGCCACGAGGGCTGAGTGAATGTACTTAATGGCATTGACAAGGACTTTGGCTGCATTTGGGAGGGTGGTCAGAACCTCAGAGCCAACACAAATGGTTGTGATGTTGGTGGCCGGGTAATGCGCAACGACATTGCGTGAAACCCAGTTAGCAGCTGTGGAGTTTGATTGACCTATTGCCAGCAGCTCTTCATTAGGGACAGATACAACAACTTCAATGCCTGACTTGGAAAGTGCAATGAGCATAGCTTGATCAGCATCATACAATCGAACATGTCGGATTTGCTGGGCTTTAAGTAGTGCTACAACTTGTGTTGGGTGTGGCATGTCTGAGAGATCTGTCCCAATGTTCACACCAATAAACGGCTCTGCAAGGAACAACAGTGAAAAGCCATTAAGCATGAGTCACAAGCCTTTTAAGTCCTCATTGATAAACCAAAACGTGAGCTCAAATTCAAAAGCACAGTTCTTTTGGAGTACTCGCTTCTATAATATGAATCTGGATTTTTTTCCCCAAAAAAAAAAAAATCTTATTTTCTTGAAGACTGAAACTGTGAAAGCAATAAACGAAGCTTTTTTTTTTTTTTCTCTCAGTAACAGCCTCCCAACTGAAAGTAAGCTGCTATAAAAGTGATACACAAAATCTGGTGTGGGCCTGAAATACATTGAATGACTGAATGAAAGGACAAAGAGCAATGTCCTTCTAGCATTTAATCAGCCTGAATCCTAAAAGGGGACCATATTCAAGCAGGTCTAACTACTAAATGCTTGAGCAATCTGCTTACTCCATATTAGCTCACATTCACAAGTTAAATAATAGTGATAAAATTAATAGCGTCTGAGAAGGAGCAGCTAATGAATGATGCTCTAAGATTGCTCAAGGCGATAATGGAAACACAGAAAACATACCAACACACTAACACTAACAGATTGCTGACTCAGCAAAAACACGCACAGCAGGACTGAGGTTTATGAACACTAAGAGTGTTTCTTGGTAGGGTTTGGACATTGAAAATGGAAGGCTCGAGAGAGTGTAAAGATTCACTCCCAGTAAGCATAACCTAAACTCAATGAGGGTTCTAACAGTAAGGAAACCAGATAAATGGTGGTTATTTAGCGAAAAACTTAGCATTAAACAGAGGAAGATTCAGAATGCAAAACTTGTACACTGAAAAGCCCTGGATCTCAGCTCAACAGAGAGAGTAAAGAAGCAAAAGGAAGATCACTAACCGTTATCGGCAGCAGCAGCAAGGACTGTAAGAAGCAGCAGAAGCAAATGCAAAGCCATAGATTCAAACCTCCCTAAAAAACAAAACACAAGAAAAATCTGGAGAAAATAAAGGAATGTTTGAGAGAAAGAGAGAGAATAAAAATGAGGAAATGAACCGAGGCAAAGGTGGGTTCAAGCTTTGAGAGAATAAATAAGAGAGAGAGATGGGATCACACGTGGAAGGAACGGTGGTCAGAAAAATCAAACAAGAACGGATATAGTAGATGGGGTTTCTTTCACTGTAACCAAGCAGGCTAGTAAGGCTGGAGGTAGAAGAAGCGAAAATCAAGGAGTTGAGGGACGCCCTTTTTTCTTCTCTCCTCACAGTTCTTAAAAATGGTTTAATGGGGATTTTGATTTTTTCCTATTTGTTTACAGGCTGGTGTAACACAGAAGTAGGGCACACCTAGCCGTTAAAGTATCGATTTCGTTTCTTTTTAGAAGGACAGTTTTGTTTTTGTGTGGTGACATGGAGCTGCATAATAGGGCATTCTTCACGACAATTTAAAAGGTGGGTCCCTCCTTCTGTACCACTAAATAAACATTGCCTGAAGGACACCCCATATCCCTTACGGCCAGCCCAAAAAAAAAAAAAAAAAAAGGAACAGCATCCTTGAAGGCATCGAAAAGGTCCAAGTAGTAACAACAACGGTCAAATTTACGCGCCATATCTTAAGCCCATTCTACATGCTTACAAAAATTTCTGATGAAAACATTATTATATATAGCGGCATTTTCTTACTCTATTTTGCTAAGATAACAACAATACTAATTTCCTCACACCATTGGATTTGAGGAAGTAAGGAACAATGGCACTTTTTACCGTTATTTTAGTAACTGTATATCACATGTAATGTGAGCTTAAACCGTAATGGGACCCTTTCCCTGTTTTATAAGATTCAACCATCTAATCATTGGCCTTGGTTTTTTGTTTTTTGTTGGCCAAAATCATTGGCCTTCGTTACAATTTAGGAACTTAAACCATAACTAGCCGGTTTAATGGAGTGTCTGTCCCACGTCGTGTAAATTCAATCACTTATGTGTACATATATACTCTCTTTCTAATCTCATTTATAAATAACTTTCAATATATTTCATTAAAATTAAAAAAATTAAATTTCATTAACTTTATATTAAAATTTAATAAATTTTTACCTTTATTTTTAATAAATTTTTTTAAATTTTATTATTAATAATTAAAATATTTAATAAGAGTAAAAATTAAAAGAAAAATATTAAAAATTGATTAATACTTTATAAATAAAATTAAATTTTTTTATTTATTTTATAAATCGAATCAAACCGATATAAATACAGATATATATATATTTCAATGTTCTGTCGTCCTTTAATCGACCTGAGTCAAGGATCCTCCTGCGGGATCCTCCTGCGTTTATGACAAGGAAACAGTTTGCGGGTACGAGTTCCATGATACTGTTTCAAAATAAAATTACCCTGTCATATATTGCAAAAGATATTATGATAATTTTTTAATATTTAATTAATATGTTTAAAAATATAAAACATTTTTAATCGAATCTCACTCATTAATAAAATAATTATCTATTTTTAAATTAATTTTATTTTTTTATATTCACCCCTGTTAAATACTCTACAATAAATATAAAGTTATTATCAATAGGGACACTTTTATAAAAAAAAAAGTAATAATTATATCCCGAGAGATAAAAAATATTTTATATTTTTAATATTTAATTTTTTAAAAAATGCATCACATTTTTGAACGAAAGGAGTAATTTTTTTTAAAAATATTCTTAACAAGTAAACCACTCAATTATTTACCCTTAAATGAGACATCTTATTAAATCTGAATAAATATAAAAAATTATGTGAATTTAAAAATAATTAACTAAATTCATTAAGAGAATAATTCAATAAAAAATGTCTTATTTTTTAATGAGAAAACGTGTG